AAAGTTATGTTATAAATAAGCGTTTGAATGAAAAGAAGGAGTTGTATCTGTGTATCTGTGTATCTGTGTGTCTATCTCTGAAGGGCCGCCTCAGTCCTCTCGGTGCCTACCCTACAGCTGCGTGTGGTGTGCGGTGCGGATCCTGTGACTTCTTCTTCTTAACCGCTGCAAGCTGAGGAATACGACGCGGTGGTGTTTGAGCAGCACGACTTCCTCTCCGCGGAAGCCCCCCCCCCCAAAAAAAAAAGAAAAAGAAAAAAACACAGAAACACAGAAACAAGAAACAAGAAACGCAGGCACTGTGTTATTGGTTGCAGGAGGAAAATGCAGGAAGAGCAGCCAGGCCCAGAATGGCGCCAACGCAGCAGAAGTCCCCCGACTCTGGGGAGCAGCGTCACATTGCACCAAGCGTAAAACGGAAAAGAAACTGTTGATGCAAAAGGTATCCATATTGAAGGTGGGGAGGAAATACACAGCCGCCCATTGGTGAGCATTGGGGGTAAAGTGTTTTCTTGCTTTTCCTTTTCGTTCCTTTTTTTGTTGCTATTGTCGTTTTCCCGTATTCATCTACGTCTCCCTTCTACGCGTGCGCCACATCATGCGGCAACACAGCATCCCCCCGCCCCGCCCACTCCACCTCCCCTTGCACTCACGCATATTGTTTAACCCGCCTCTGTTTCTTTGCCTGCTTTTACGTATTTTCTATCGCCGCCCACGTGCCTCGTCCGGTCAGCGCCCACGGCCCCTCACTAACGACGGGGAGCACCCGCGTCGTCGTCGCACGCTGCCTCCCGCGTGCACACACACACACACACAGGCATCGCCAACAACACCAAGAGCAGAAGCAGAGCGGGCAAAATATTCCTCAACTTCGGAATTGGAAAACGGGGAAAAACAAAACAAATCAAAAAAAAACGCGACAGAAGAAAATAATGGTGGGAGCACTTCCACTGAGGGCTGTCGCTCGGTCAACAGGAGGAGGGGAAAACAAAAACAAGCACATGGAAGAAGGCAAAGATGGAAACAGCCGACCACAAACTCCGGCCAATCAACTAACGGTCGGCGCAGGTTGAGAAAAAAAAAACCTCTTACGCGCAAATAACAAACATTATATATGCGCGTTGTCTGCGAACAGGCGGTTCCTTTGGGCGCATCCTCCTCCTCCACCTTCTCTTCCCGAGAGCCCAAAGGCCCCGCAGGGTCGCGGGCCCAAGAGAGAAAGTGGTGCGGCAAAAATAAGCTAATGTCGCCACCGCCCCACGGAGTCAATCACTGCCTATTCATGACCCAACAAAGCGAACCCGAGGACAAAAAGTAAGATTACAATATTCCACTTTGAGAAGATGACCAACAGTCCCGAAACTTCCGCGCTCGCTCCAAATGGTTCTGGAGAACAAAGAAAAGAAAAGAAATAGAACGGATAAAAGAGAAGAGGTTCAATTAACATGTCTTGGACCACCAATCCCGCGCTCCGCCCCGGAGAGAAAAGAAGCTGAAAAAATAAAATTAACGAATAGCCCAGCTTTTCAGTGGCTCCTAAAGCTAAAACAAACAAACAAACAAACAAAGTGGCGTCCTCTTTAGTAATAAATTGAATCTTGGCAGTCGACTGGCCAACATTTTGCCCGCTGGGTGTGACGTTCCCTCCCCCACCCACCCCCTTCTTCTTCCCTTTTTTTGCTTGCATTCTCTTGTGTGTTTCTTCGGGTGTTTGCTGCTGGTGCCTCACCCCCTGTCGTTGACTAGGTTATTAACGTCAATGGAATAGAAAACTGCGTACCATAAATAAACATAAATAGGAGACGCATTGAAGTACAAAGAAAAAAGCATGAAGCTGCAGAGAAGCCCCATTATTATCACCGCACCACCCCGACTCCTCTCCCAACGCTCTCAAGTCGGTACCGCCGCGTTCTTTTTGATTTGCCCGAAGGTCACGCCACGGGCGCGGGACGCAAACTGCAGGGAACTGCTACTTTCACTGGCGTTGTAGCTTGCAGGACTGACACATGCAAACATAAGAACCTTCGCCTGCCCAGCCATGGAATCCTGCAGAAGGAAGGTCAAGACGGAGTTGCGGAAAGGAATATGCTTCACGTTCTGTGCAAGCCCAGCTATGACGTCTCCCAACGCGGACAAGGATTTGTTGATGGAAACCGCCTCCTTCAACTGTTGCCCCCCCGCACCACTCTTCTCAAGTCTCTCGCTCCCTGCCAAGTCAACCAAAGAAAGTTTTCCAAAACCTTGCATGTTCGTTTGCTTATTTGTTGTGCGAACCACGATATACACAATCATGTGGGACCTGGATGAGTGCTCGTTCATGTTCGTCTGCCCCTCACTTCGCTTGCTATTTGCGCGAGCCATGATATCGCGGATTTCCCGTGGGGAAGTAACCAGCACCTCAGTGAGATTTGTCACGTATGTGCCGCATGGACCACCTTGCTTCACCTCGTACGTTACTTTTCCCGCATCGTGGGACGCCAACAGGTCTCTAATGTTGTCGCAGTAAATCTCAAGTACAGAAATGACAACCGTAGACTCCTCCGTATCTTTGCGTTCCTCAATAACCTCAAAAAGGCGCTCCAGCGCTCGCGCATTGATGCCTTTTGTCTCCCCTTCGCCTCCACCCATAGTGTACGTCTTGCCACTTCCTGTCTGCCCATAGGCGAAAATGCAAACATTGTAACCATCTACGACACTATCAATGAGAGGACATGTATCTTCGAACACCTTTGCTTGCGTTGCGCTAGGTGAGTACACTTCATCAAACTCAAACAGCTTCGGGCGCCCACTCCCATCGACAAACTTTAGCTCGTCCGTGGAAGGGAACTCCATTATAGAGTAATGGCCGTCACTGATCTCTTTAGGCACCATCGGACGAACACGACAGTACACACGAATGTTTCCTTTCAGTTCCTGAATTGTGTTGTAGTACTGTTTGCGGAGTTTCATCTCCCTCTTGTATAACTCCTGCGTCCACAACAATGCCTTTTAGTCCGCGTGGCGTTCTTGTTTGGCGGCAGCAACAATAGAAGCAATGGCACTGGTAAGCTGCGCCGCGTAATATGCACTCTCCTTTTGGATATCAGCGGCATGCTGCTCCCGCAATGCTTGTAGGGATTGGCGTATAAACTGCACATTATCACGCATTCGTCTCGCCACCTCTACAGAGATCGGAGGGGCGGCATTCGCGACTTTAGCACCTGCCCCAGCCACACCCAGACCCCCAGCGGGGACGCCAGCGCCTCCTGCCTTGAGCTCCTCAACTTGATCAGCATACATCTCCAAAGTAGCCACAGCTGCCTTATTTTTGGCCTTTGCGTCCTTGTATTTATTACTTAATTCAGCATTCTTGCGGCGCAGCTCCCCAAGCTGCTTGTGCAGGTCCGCCACCACAGAACGTTCCTGCTGGACCAACTGTTGTGTGGCCTCTTGAGCTTTTAGCATAACTTGCTCAGCATTCTGTCGCGGGGCTGCACGCTGACGAAGCCGCTTCGCGTGCTCCTCATCATCGCTGTCCATTGCGACCCCGTTTCCATCGTCCGCAGAGAGTGCACGCTGCCGCGCTGCCTCACCTTCGCCCGTGTCAAACCCAGTCATTGCCTCAAAGAGTTCCAATACTTCCGAGAACCGCTCCATCAACTGCATTAGCTCCGGGGCAAAGCCCTCATACTGGCCTGTCTCAAGTAGGCGCATGCACTTGAACTTGTGATCCCTGCACTCTTTAGCGATATCCTCGGCATGAAGAATGTTTGGGTGCTCAAGGGCGTACTCCAGCGAGGCAAGATCGCCTTGGGCCTCAAGCAAAAATGTCTCTGCTTTATTCAGCGCTTGAAGTTTGTCCCTGTTGGTAAGGCTATCTTGCTCTTTGCTGTCCTTGCTGCTGTCTTTGCCGGATACCACGGAGCGCTCCTCCGCGGCAATTCGTTGCCACGCCCGGTTGTATGTCTCCCCCAAAAGCTTGCTCTGGGCAAAGCGCTGTGCGCAGCGTTTAAAGCCATCGGTGCGGTACCTCTTTTGCCATAAAATAACCGTCTCAATGATCTTGTAGGTGACTCTTTCAGAAGTGGTGGACTTCGCAACCTTCACCAGACTGTCCGCCCACTTTTCAGATGACACCATACCGGCAAATTGAGGCATGCAATTCAGAAGCAACTGGTCCAAGATAATCACGGAACGCTCCTGCTCTGTCGTAGTCCCGTGCTTTAGATGTTCCTTGACGTCGTCCAAAACCACCTGCGCATTGCCTTGCTGCACCAAGTTTGCCAACGCCATTATTATCTCACGTTCTCCCTCCACATTGTGGCTGGTGTAGAGGCTCCTGAGAAGCTCCACCACTCGTTGCCGGTTTTGCTCGTGCAGCGACATGGGCGGCGAAATAGTACTGTGGAAACAGCCTCAAGGGGCAATGACGCAGAGGCCGTCTTGTGTGGATATGAAGATGGCGCTGCTGCAGAAGAACTGTGGACTCACTCTTGTCGTTCTTGTTGTTGTTTTTTTCTTCTTCGCTTCTTTTTTTTCCTCCACTTTTTATTTCTGTGGTTGTTCTGCTTTTTCACTGAGTGCGAGCTGCTAGCTATGAAAGAAAAACCAAAACAAAATAATAATAATAATAATACAATCGCTGTCGCACGTGTACGCCTCTCTTTACCCAGTTGAGGGCACGGGTAAGCACAGAAGGTGAGAAAGAGACGAGGGAGATACGAAACATGTAGAGGGAAGGGGACAAAGAAGACTATGCGAGATGCGAAAGGAGCAGAAGGAAACACCGCAAACGCATCGCCACTCTTGAAAGTGCGCTGTGTCGATAAATAGGCGGTAAACTATTGCTGAGGTGTGTGAGTCACCACAGGCCTCCGCGACGGCCGCACGCGCTAGCGACAACGCCAGTGAGTGTGGGTGGGAGAAGGCGAGGAAAGGATGCCAAGCAGCTGGCGTCGGTCGTCTTCCGCGGTTGCTTTCCGCATCGCCGCCTTCCTTCGATTTTTTATCCCTCTCCACAAATGGAGAGGAAGAGCAAGCAAGCAACAAACGAGAGAACTGGCGCCTGGCTGAGGCCCTGGCCGCCGATTCCTGCAAGGGAGGAAGAGAAAAACAGAAGAAGAGTACGGCTTATCTGAACGTGACAAACATCCCGCGATTAGGATGAGCTTCATCTAGCGCACTCCCACATATCCGTGAACCAAATGACTCACCCGCCAATGCATGATGGCCGGGACCCTCGTTATAAGCTCAGGCCGTGATCGACGTTGGAGCCGCCGCGGCTGCTGGACCCCTCGACTCCGCGTGGAGGGCATTAACAGCAGTCGTCGTAGCAACAGGGGCGGTGCCGGGGGCCACTGAGTGGGAAAGCAGCAACACCAACAGAATCGCGCTCGTGCCGTCTTCCAACGCCGGACCCTCGCTCCCTTGCCCCCCCATCTGATTACAAAAAAAACTTCCAAAACAACTTTGAGGAAAAACAAATCTCCGGAGACACGCATATCTTTGTTTGCCTGTATGTTTTGTTTTGTTGTTGCTTTTGCCCCGTCTCATTCCCGCTCATCCCGCTATGGGCCCTGAGCCGTCGTACTTTCTCGGGTTATTTGGGCAACCGGGGGGCGAGGCCAAGTGTGCCACCCAACCCGCCGACCCCGCCAGAAATCGCGCGTGACACAGTGGACAAACACTGTGAGTTGGCACAGCCTTGATGCACCGCTTCGCCTCGATGTGCTTCTTAATGTCCTCTACCCTCACTGCCTCCCTGCAAATGGGGCACTCGCGCACTAACTGCCTGTTCTCGCACTCGGTGGTAAGGTGTTGCTGCAGGGTGGCAATCTCCGTCACCTGGTCGCAGAGAGGGCACGGGCAAAGCATTGGGCATGCACGAATGAAGTGAATATCAAGCGCCGCCTCTGAAAAGCTCGCATCAAACTCCCCACAGAACTGGCAAGTCTTTGCGGCACGATAAGCGCTGCGCACGCCAGAGTTCGGTCGGGGTCCGCGTTCTATCAAATGCGCCTCACCTTCGTCCAGAACCCCGCTAGGGTGAAGTGCAGAAGTGGGTCTCGTTTCGTGCTTGCCTTCCATCCCTGTCGCGGACGCGTTCAGGGCCGCCAGTTGTTGTTCTACCAAGCTCTTCTGTGCCGGTTTTAAAGCCTCCATGTAGGAACTTGAACTGGTTGGAGAAAGCAGGAGCAATTTGGCGAAAAGGCGGCTTGCCGCCTCCCGCACCCCGCCACTCGAATGCTGCAAACAGGGCAGTACCGCCTTTGTTATAACAGTGCCTGGTTCAAGACTCACCGATTTGTCTCCGTTAATGCCGTAACGGTCTAAAAGTGAATTAAGCATGTCCATGCGGGAAATCTGAGCCTTGGCTGAGGTGGGACGCTTTTTGTTCTTGCCTAGATCTATGACAAGTGCCGAAACCACAGGTTCAAGCGCCACCTCTGCGAGCGACACAAGAACAGCTTCAGCCATCTCTCTAATTCGGTTGTTGTTGTCGCCTGAACGCAGCACCAGCTCCGGAAAAAGGGGTTTTACATAGGAGATTAGATCAGACACGGGAGGCATGCCTTCAGTATTGCCCTTTATTATGGTTTGAAGCGCCTCACAACACGCAAGTACTACCCCTGGCACGGAATCACTCAACCCACGGGAAGGAAGCGCCATATAGCACAAGAGCGTTTCAATTACAGTGTGTGAATGTGTGGAGAGGGCGGCAAAGCCCCTGGGCGATATGATAGCGCGAATGGCAGCCTCACGAAGTGGTCCTTTTTTCCCAAACAAGCAAGCACAACAGTATGTTCCAAACACCTTTTCACTGTCTGTCGCCTCTGCAAGTGCGTCTCCTTGTAATATTGAAGCCTCAGCCTCGCCTCCAGAGAGCCCAAGAATGACGTGGTTAATTGACTCTTCCCATTCCTCTTTCCCTCGAGTGAGCGCAGAAGCCAATTGGCTACTAACCTCCCTTCCAACACTAATACCACTGTTTCCTGCTCCGCCCTCCATTGGGTTTTCCACGTTGCCTATCGCGTAGAACCCCCGGCCACCAACAGGCATTTCATCAAAAGATGCAGAAGGAGGAGCATTCACAGGGATAACTGAGGGCATAAGATATCTCTCCTGGAGTTCCACTGGTGTTGAGTCTCTCGTCACTACCGGTTCCTTTTTCGTTAGCGGCTCTTCTAATCTTTTGGACTCCTTACCGCTTTCAACTACTTCTGGAACTGTGGTGGGAATTTTGTACGCTGCCTCCCTTAGGCTATCAATTTGACGTTTTAACATCTTTGCAGTAACGTAATCCTCTTTTTCTACTGCATCTGCCTTTTGTCTTTCTAAAGCATAGATTTCCTTTCCCACGCCCTCTAAATTCAACAAACATGTCTTTAGCGCACTCGCCAAATCATAGTCCTCCGCTGCCACTGCTTTTTCCTTCAACAGTACAATTTCCCCTATCCGGCGAGTTGTCGCCCTGTCGATTTGACGGCCATTATCATCCGCTGCCTGCGGCGTCCCAGAATCCTCCAGACGCGGTGGAAGCATTTCATCCAAAGGAACTTCCACCGTCTCTCCCACGAGACATATTCCCTGTGTCGGGGGAGCCTGATACGTGCGCAGAATTGTACCGTGACTTGTCAACGCGACAATGCCTACTTGGTGAAAGAGATTGTACTCACTGTGATATGGCCTTGAAATCAGAAGTTTGACATAAACGCATCTTTGCCGAATATTTATCGTCTTCAGTTCTCGAGCCCCAAAGACGTTATCTGCATTGGAAGCAAAACAAACATATCCCAAACGTCGAAAGTCGCTTAGACGATAGGATTTTACAATTCCTGTTTGAATTTCCTTTTCGGTGGGTTCAGCGACAAAAACTTCAATACGCGATGCAATCTTGCTCTCATGAGAGAGTACTCGAATAAAATTCAGTTCTACTTCACCTTCAAACGCAAATCCAAGCTCTTGCGGGTAGACGCATCCCTTGTCAGACTGCCACCCAATAGCGCTGCGGGTGTGAAGACGCAAAGCACGCGCCGGGCGATCTGCATCCTCCGAAGAGCAATGGCAAAGGCACATGCTCAATCGCGGTCCGTACTTTTCTTCCGAAGGAAACATCGTCCCCATCATAATTCTTTCTGGCACACCCCAACCAAGGTGCACCAACGCAAATGTGAGCGCGGAAAAGCGAGAAATAAAAAAGAAAAGAAAAACAACAACAACAACAACAGCCACAACAGGTGGGGGTCTCTACCTCAAAACGAAAAATTGTTTGTGTAGGGGAAGCAAAAACAAAGGAAAAACGGTCATATGCATGATTTATGTATGTATACCTCCTTATGATGTATTACCTTAGTCCGATCGTTAAAACAAATAAAAATTACCATAACGTATAATGTTTCCCTTCTCCTTTGAAGTTAGTTAACAAGGCACTCAATACGTCATCTGTGTCAAAATTTTAGTCCGAATCATCCTCTTCTTCTTCTTCAGTTTCATCTTCCTCTTCTTCCTCCGCATCATCGTAACTTCCCTCACTACCGTCTCCTCTCTCCATCTCATCGGCTTCTTCCTCTTCGTTTGCGTTCTCTGTGGCATAGAGATCATGGATGGGGGCGATTATGCAGTCAGGATCAAACTCCACCACATTGTTAGGCAAAAACATCAAATACTGCTTCAAGAGGGAGGCTACGTGGTCCAAGAGGCTAGCAAAGTGGGCAGTAGGGCCTTGACGTGTCTCAAGCATCCCAAGCCTTTTCCCCAAAGAGAGAGAAATATCAAAAATGACAGAGGCAGCCTCCACTTCGGCTTTTGTTACACACTTTTTCGTAGGAGGCCGCATAACTGCCCAGGGGATATTTTTCCCCTGACAAATCTCCCGAACAAAAGTACGAGCACCAAGCTTCAAGGCATTATGGGAATCCATCCTTTGTACGCTCATGTTACTCTTTCTTTTCCCATGAGAGGGAGTCACAACGGATGAAATACGCACAAGCTTGTTTGGGGTGGCATTACTAAATGAGGCGTCAAGAAGGGTTGTTTGTGTGCTTTGCTGGCGAGAAGTAAAACCAACAGACGCTGTCAAGGAACTGCTAGAAAGTTTTCCCATGGTTCCAGCGTTCGACACAAACAAGGGAGACACGTAAAAACCCTTTTCCCTTCGTACTGTGTGTCCAAGGCCTCGAAAAAATCGCTGGGCCATCTTAATATTTTGTTCTTCATCGGGAGAAGGAATAAATCCTTCTCCGGGCTGGCAAAAGCCCTGCGCAAGGGCAACTTTGTCAATTGCAGCCTCGAAAAGCATACAACCAATGACTTCAGGACTAGTCATTCTTTCAATAAACGAAAACGGCTTGAAAACGACATTGCCTCCAGACACAGAGGAAAGCTCACGCAACAGTACCGCATCTTCAGGGAACTGTAGTAATGTTATTTCTTTCGCATTGGGGAAAGCCAATTTAAACTTCATATCTTCTTTATTTTCATCCTTGCTGGCCATCACCTGTAACTGAGCAGCGGAAACGGGAACGAGACTTACGCCCGAATCAGTTCCATACTGTAGTAAAGAGCGAGACAGAGTTCGGCGACCCGTGTTTGGGAGTCCAATAACAAACGAACAAAGTTTCCCTTCAAGGTTGCAATACGGGTTCGACTGTGAACATTGCTCACTCGAAAGAAATTGTCTCAAAATTCGAATAACATGTCGTATTGTCTTGTCAAAAATTTTGGAAACGGGACAAAAAGCAACACGTATGGCGTCACTCAACTTCAATGATTCCTCACTGTCAGTCCTGTTTACATACCGTTCACAAAGCGCATTTGCCAGAAGTGAAATTTGTGTAACCACAGCTGGCACAGACACAAGGTCTATTTTGGTAATGGCAAAAAGCAGAAGGATTTTTCGAACTCCACCGTTTTTATTGTAAACATTAGCCTCCTGGACAATTGCATCAAGAAGAGCCCATGGTATACACTGAACCGCACAGCGGGCGTCAAGGGTAATCACGTAAGCCGCCGATGGGAGCTCCATCCACGACCCAGGAGGCGGGAAAACGAGTTCCGCCAGTGCCTTATTAAATTGATATGAAAAATTGTTAGATTCCCGAACAGGAATATACGTCAGGGCCTTTTTAATCTTACGCAATATCGGAGCCGTGTGTGCTAGCTCGGAGGCGGACTCCACATGCCCACGAGCATCATCCTCCTCAGCCGAAGGCTTTTCAGCCCGTTTGGCACGTTCGACGCGAGCGTCTTCACGTGCCTGAAGCACCCTCTGAAGGATGGCTTCCTTATCAGGATGGGCGTTGGATACCTTTAAGGCCAATTTGGCAAGTTCTCGGGTCTTTTTCGTCCTTTTCGGACCAAGACCGGACTTCTTCAAAGACTTTGCAGCTCGGCGAAGGTCGCGCTTGTGTTCCCGTTTCTTTCGCTCAATCTTGTGGCGCTGACGCGACGTCATGCGCTTCGATGGCCCGCTCCTAACCTTGGGCATTAGTTTTCTTCTTCTTCGCCTCCCTTCACAACAACAACAACAAAAAAGGCAGAACAAAAAAAATAATAATAATAATTAAATTTATCAGCCTCGGTGAAACATAAAAAAAAAGGAAGAAGCAAAACAAAAGCAATACTACCAGAAACAAATGAACATAACTATTGTTCTTCAGTACCGAAAAAATGAAATTAATAACAGTTTGTACAGCCCCCAGTTTGAACTACAATATATATATATATTCATATTTATATTATGAATATATAGAT